TAGGACCAATAGGAGGAACCACAAGAAAGAAGAAACAAAACAAAACAGATCTGTATTCAAACTTCATAGTTCTTTCTCTAGATGTAGATAGCATTTTCCATCATGAGACTTTTAGAGATTTCTTAGATCCTTGCATTGCTGAGAAGAGCTAAGTCTATCAAAGTCAGTCATCACACAATGTGGCTGTTACTGTGTACAATGTTCTCCTGGCTTTGCTCACTTCACTCAGCATCAGTTCATACAAGTCTTTCCAGGTTTTTCTGAAGTCTGCTTGCTCATCATTTCTTATAGCACAATAATATTCCACTACATTCATATACCACAACTTGTTCAGCCATTCCCCAATTAATGGGCATCCCCTCAATTTCCAGTTCTTTGCCATCACAAAAACAGCTGCTATAAATATTTTTGTACACATGGGTCCTTCTCCCATTTTTATGATCTCTTTGGGATACAGCCCCAGAAGTGGTATTGCTGAGTCAAAGGGTATGCACATTTTTATAGCCCTTTGGGCATAGTCTGGAAAAGAACTGAGAAAATGTACCTCCCTCTCTTCTTTGCAGAAGTGGGCAAATATGGGTGCAATACATTGTACATACTGCATATTATTGATTTGTTGGTTAATTTTGCTTGACTGCTTTCTATCCACTCTTCCTTTTTAAATCTATTACAAGCAGTAAATTGCTGTTAACTCTCCTATATTCACCTCCAAACAACCATAAAATAGTGCCCCAAAACAAATCCCAGAATAGTACAACAAGCAAAAAGACAGGGTAAAACAATCTTTTAGTCCAAGAAACTTGAAAGATCAGCAAGAAAGGTCTGTCTCACTCCAATAAAAGGGGAGTGCATTCCAAGACAAGAAGTGTCCTAGCAAACTAGCCGCAAGCCCCACATCAGCAAACCAGTGGGAGATCCTGAGCCCCAGTATGTTGGAGCAGGCAAACACCAACACCAGAACTCCCTTGTGCCTTAGCATAGCCAGGGTAACCAGCAGATTCCAGCTCCAAGAACTACCATGTGCTTCAGCACAGCCCTGGGCAAACAGGCATCCTCTGGCATGACAAGAAAGTAGACCAGATTTTCACGTGTTTCAGCGTAGCCATGGGGAACACAGAAACACCCCTCAGCACATGCTAGACACTACCACTAGGACCCCAGCTCAGCACCAGGTAAGCTGCTAGACCCCTATGGCCTCCAGCAGCACTAGCCACCTCTCACCCTATCCCCTCAGCACAGCACCAGACACAAGAGTCCCCTGTGTGCCTCAGGGCAACATCAGTGAAACACCAGGTAAAGAGCCAGGGTCTGTAACCACTGGCACGAGACGCTTGAGACTATGCCCCTTCTACTCTGGGTGCAGAGCTCAAAAAAAAAAAAATAAAAGAAAGAGAGAGATGAGCAAAAAAACAAAACAAACAAAAAAAAGAATCTGACCATAGAAAGTTATTATAGTGACAGGGAAAACAAGGACACAAACTCAGAAGACGATAACAATGTCAAAACACCTATGGGCAAAACCCTAAAGAAAAATAGGAAGTGGTCTCAAGCCCAGAAAGAATTTATGGAAGAGGTCAAAAAGGAGCTTAAAAGTCATATAAGAAAGGGAGAAGAAAAAATGGGAAGAGAAATCAGAGTGATGCAAAAGAATTATGAAAAAAGAGTCAACAGCTTGTAAAACTTCTTTAAAAGTAGAATTGGCCAAATGGAAAAGAAAGTACAAAAGTTAATTGAGGAAAACACCTCCTTAAAAGTCAGAATTGAGCAAGTGGAAGCTAATGACTATATAAGACATCACGAATCAATCAAACAAATTCAAAAGAATGAAAAAAAATGGAAGGAAATGTAAAAAGGGGATAATATTATGGGAAAAACAATTGATCTGGAAAATAGATCCAGGAGAGACAATATCAGAATCACTGGACTACCTAAAGGCCATAATCAAAAAGAGGACCTAGACAGCATCTTTCAAGAAATTATCAAGGAAAACTACTCTCATATCCAGCAACTAGAGGGCAAAATAGGCACTGAAAGAATCTACTATCACCGCAACAAAGAGATCCCAAAATAAAAACTCCAAGGAACATTATAGCCAAATTTCAGAACTATCAGGTCAAGGGAAAAATCCTACAAGTGTCCAGAAAGAAACAATTCTAATATCAGGGAGTCACAGTCAGGATTACACAGGACTTTGCAGCTGCAACATTAAAGAACTGGAGGTCATAGAACATGATATTCTGGAAGACAAAGGAGCTAGGACTACAACCAAGAATCACTTACCTGGCAAAATTAAGCATAATACATCAAAGAGGAAAAATGTTTATTCAATGATATAGAAGAATTTGAAGCTTTCATAAGGAGAAGAACAGAACTAAATCAAAAAATTTGACCTCTAATATCAAGACCCAAGAGAAGCATTAACAGGTAAAAAGGGAAAAGAAAACATAAGCAATTCAATAGAGCTAAACTATTTACATCCCTACATGAGAAGATAATATTTGTAATTCTTAAAAATTGTATCACTAATAGTATAGTTAGAAGGAATAAACATAGACAGAGGATATGGGTTTAAGGTAAATTTGAGGGAATGACATAAAAAAAATTAAAGGATGAGAAAGTGTACACTGGGTGCAGAAGGAAGGGAGAGGTAGAATGGGGTAAATTATTTCACATGAAGAGGTGCAAAGGACCTATTACAGTGGAGGGGAAAATGGGAGGGTGGGTAACAAGCATCACTTGAACCTACTTTCATCAGTATTGGCTCAAAAAAGGAATCATATATACAATCAGTTGAATATAGTAATCTATCTTACTTGTCAAGGAGGGGAAGAGATCAGGTAAAAGGGGGGTGGGAATTGAGAGAAGGGAGGGCAGATCAGGGAAGATGGTAGGCAGAAGCAAAACACTGGTGAAGAGGGAAAGGGTGAAAGGAGAGAGAGGACATACAGGAGGAAGAAATATACAGGTAGTAATCATAATTACAATATGAATGGGATGAACTCTCCCATAAAACAGAAGTGAAGAGCAGAGTGGATCAAAAACCATAATCCCACAATACGGTGTTTACAAGAAACACACTTGAAGCCGGGAGACACACACACAGAGTAAAGGTAAGGGACTGGAGAAGAATCTATTATGTTTCAGCTGAAGTAACAAAAAGCAGGGATAGCAATCTTGATCTCAGATAAAGTAAAAGCAAAAATAGACCTAATTAAAAGAGATAAGGAAAGAAACTACATTTTGGTAAATAAAAGGTGCCATAGACAATGAAACAATATCAATACTAAATATATATGCACCAAGTAGTATAGCATCCAAATTCTTAAAAGAGAAGTTAAATGAGTTACCAGAAGTAATAGCAAAATTACACTAGTGGGGGACCTCAACTGTCCCCTCTCAGAACTTGATAAATCCAAACAAAAAATAAACAAGAAAGAAACTAAGGAGATAAATAGAATATTAAAAAAATTAGATATGACAGACCTTTGGCACGATTTAGACATAAAGGATAAGACATACATTTAGACAAGCAAATTAGAAGAGCAAGGAATAGTCTACCTGTCAGATCTATGGGGAGGGGAAGAATTCATGACCAAACAAGAGACAGGGAGCATTATAAAATATAAAATAAATAATTTTGATTATATTAAATTAAAAAGCTTTTGTACAAACAAAACCAATACAACCAAGATTAGAAGGAAAGCAAAAAGATGGGAAACAATCTTTACAGCCAGTGTCTCTGATAATGGTCTCTTTTCACAAATATATAGAGAACTAACTCAGATTTACAAGAATACAAGCCATTCTCCAATTGATAAATAGTCAAAGGATATGAAGAGGCAGTTTTCAGATGAAGAAATCAAAGCTGTCTACAGACATATGAAGAAGTGCTCTAAATCACTTTTGATTAGAGAAATGCAAATTAAAACAACTCTGAGGTACCACCTCATACCTATCAGATTGGCTAATATGACAGAAAAAGAAAATGATAAATGCTGGAGAAAATGTTGGAAAATTGGGACACTAATGCACTGTTGGTGGAGCTGTGAACTGATCTAATCATTCTGGAGAGCAATTTGGAACTATGCCCAACAGACTATAAATGTGTGCATACCCTTTCATCCAGAAATACTACTACTAGGTCTGTATCCCAAAGAGATCATAAAAAAAGGAAAAGGGCCTACATGTGTAAAAATATTTACAGCAGCCCTTTTTGTGGTGGCAAAATATTGGAAGTTGAGATATTGGGGAATGACTGAACAAGCTGTGGTATATGAATGTAATGGAATACTATTGTGCAATAAGAAATGATGAACAGGAAGATTTCAGAAAAACCTGGAAAGACTAGTATGAACTGATGCAAAATTAAATGAACAGAACCAGGAAAACATTGTACACAGTATCAGCAACATTGTGTGATAATCAACTATAAATAACTCAGCTCTTCTCAGCGACACAATGATCTAAGACAAGTACAAAGGACTCACAAAGAAAAATGCTATCCTTATCCAGAAAAAGAACTGATGAACTCTGAATGCAGATGGAAGCATATTTTTTTCACTTACTTTATTCTTTCTAATGGTTTTTTTTTTCCATTTTGATCTGTTTCTTTTTTCACAACGGTGACTAATCTGGAAATATTTTTTACATGATAGCACATGTATAATCTATATCAAACTGCCTACCATTTTCAGAAAAGGGGAGGAGAGGGAGGAAAGGAGAAGAATTTGGAACTTTAAATCTTATAAACATGAATGCTAAAAATTTTCTTGGCATGTAACTGGGGGAAAAATAAAATACCATTTAAGTCTAAGGATGGCTCACTAGGTGGGGAGGGTGGGTATATTCAGAAATGAAAGTGATATAAAAACAAAAGGAAGCAATGAAATTTTAAAAAAAGAAAATAGAAGGGGGAAAGGTGAAAATTAAACAAGGAAAAACATTATTCTTAATTCATATAGCAATTAGAGTGTTTTCTCTTCCTGAAAATTCATAATTACCCTGATTGAATTATTCAGATCCTCAATTATATTCCTGGTAATCATAACAGAGTCAGAGTATTCTAACAAAAAAAGGAAATTTTCTGTTTCCACTTGCCCTTGTTTAAGCAGGAATTGAACTGTCAGATCCACCTGATAATCACTTTCATCCTTCCGTAATCTAAGATGAAAAAGAATGAGAAACAATTTGTAGTTATTGCTCTGTATTTGTTTTACATGTAATTTAGTAACTAAATGAGAAGTCTTTCCAAGGCTACCTTGTAGTTTATTTGTAGCCTGTCTTCTACATACCTTATATATACATGCTGTCTCTCTTACTAGAACATAAGCTCTTTTAGGAGAAAGACTCTTTTGCTTCTGTCTTTGTGCCCAATGCTTAGTGCATTGCCTGGCACACACTAGGCGCATATTAGGTGCATACTAAGTACTTGTTGATTGACTGAAGTCATGGTAAGCCACTTTACTTTCAAAATACTTGAACAATGTGGACATTTCCCCCCAAATCAGTTTTCATTTAAGTAGCTATAATCATTCTTCTTATTCAGTATGGGTTATTAAAGTATGGTATGGACACAAATGAGTTCATAAAATATTATTTTAGGATTAAGAATACTTGACTAGTCAAACTTTTATTCTGTTAAAATGATTTAAATCTGAAGAAAAAAACCGAAACCGTGAGAAAAGCAAACTACTCAGCAATTTGGTAAAAGGCATAAAATGTGTTAAAATCTTTGCTTTACCCTGCCTTTCACCAAATTACCAAATTGCTGAGTAGTTTGTTTTTCTTACAGTAAAGCTTCTTCTTCTTTTTTTTTTTTTAAGGCAATCAGGGTTAAGTTGCTTGCTCAGGGCCACACAGCTAGTAAGTGTTTGAGGCCAGATTTAAAATCAGGTGCTCCTGACTCCAAGGCCAGTGGCCTATCCACTGCATCACCTAGCTGCTCCTTACAGTGAAGCTTTAATGATTAATCAGGAGATTCCCATAGTAGTAAACTTGTATGTCAACTATAATTATATATTCATTAAATTTTATGAACATGGAAAAAATTAAGCTGAGAGTTGAAGCAATTATCTAGAATAATTTAGGTCCAAAAAACTGCTACTAAAGAAAAAGAGAGTAAATTGACTAATTCGACTGGTAATTTACATTTTATTAACTAGTCTCCAAAGTGGGGGCATGAGTCAAAGGGGTCCACTTGGAGAGTGGGAAGATGGATCTCATCCCCACCTCCCCATGATAGCCAATCTTCAACATAGCCATGTCTCCTTATCTGCCCCTGTGTGGGCCTTTCAAAACAGCTGACCAGGACACTTGAACCATTAGCTAGAAAAGTGCCACTGGGAAAATTCTCCCTATGGCAACATAGCCACTCTCTGCCCCTTGGATCACTTCACTGAATACAGCAGGCACCCTTCAATGGCTCTGTATCCCTTGACTAACATTATACTCTGAGGTAGTGGTAGATAAGAGAATCCCCCCAAACCCTTTCCTCCCTTTTCATTTTAGGTGGGACATAGTAAGTCTCAAAGAATTAGTTGGCATGGATGTTCTTCAAACTGCATCATAGATCTTATTATCTTTCCCCTCAAACCACCTCTATTTCTGAACCTCCCTATTATCACTATCAAGAGCATTTCAATCCTTCCAGCCACTTAGGTGCATCCTCAGTGTCATTCTAGATGCCTTACCTTCACTAAATTCTCCACATCTCATAACCCATCAGTTCCTAAATCCTATTATTTCTATCTCCACAAAGTCTCAAATCTTTCCCCTTCTCTCTACTTACACAGCCACTACCATAGTTCAGGTCCTCATCACCTCCTACCTAGACTATTGCAATAGATTCCTAATTGATCTTGCTACTCAAGTTTCTTCCCTCTCCAATCCATGCTCCAAGAAACTGTCATCTTCCTAATGTCATTCTGCTGCTTAATACATATCAGTGGTTTCCTATTCTGGGATCAAATATTATTTAATTTTATCTCATTCCTTTTCATTTCTAGTTTTGTGCATGTTTTGTAATGTACACAATTCATAGTGCAATAGTATGATAATTTGACTTGCAAACCAGGAAATATACATATATTGTCAGGTCATGCTCAAAAACTTTTTTACTTACAGAAGAGTGCAATTGGAAAAATTTGGAGACCATTAAACTAGAGAAGCACTCAACTTTCTAATCACTAAACTTTTGTTAGTATGAAATATTATTGTCTGTAAAATAGGAATAATATACTACTTACTACACAAGATTGTTATGAAAAAAACCTTTTAAAGGCTATATAAATTTTTAAAGATTTAAAAAAACTTTAAAAAGCTACATAACTTTAAAAAAAAAGCTATACAAATGTGAGTCATCCTCATCCTTAATAAACCCTCACTAGATCCTACCATCTTCTCAAGCTATCATCTTCTCTCTTTCCTTTTTACAACCAAATTCCAAAAAAGCTATTTACATTCATTGCCTCCATTATCTTTCCTCTCACCCTTTGCCATCTGGCTTTCACCCTCACCAGCTCAATTGAAATCTCTCTCCCAACATTTCTCTTAATTTCCTAATCCAAAGGCCTTTTATCAATCCTCATCCTTCTTGAATGCAGTGCTGCATTTGACACTGTTGGTTGCTGTCTTCTCTTCTCTTGAGTTTCCTTTTCTTTCTGTGATTTCATGTCACTGTTTCCTCTTGTTTCTCTCCTCTTATCTGACCACTCCTCATTCTCCTTTAATGATGGATTATCCTACATTCATATCATGTTACCTAACTGTACTATACCCCAAGGCACTGTACTGGCCCCTACATCTTTTCTAAACTGTCTTGGTGACTTCATCAGTCAGTTGTCACCTCTAATCAGATGACTCACAGATTTATAAGTCCAGTCATAATCTCTCTCTTGAGCATCTATCCCACATTACCAAACTACCCATTAGACATTTATACTGGATATCTGTAGGCATATCAAACTCAGTATGTCCAGAATAGAACTCACTATCTTTTCTTCTAAACCTATTCCTTATCAAACTTACCTATTTCTTTTTAGTAACTAAAATATTTTCAAACACACAGCTTTCCAGCTTCAGATACATACCCACTCTTCGTCACCCCAAATATCTAATCAGAAACCAAATCTTTATTTGACTTCCACAACATCTTTCTCCTCCTTTCTCTCCACTTACATGGTCACCAGGCTACTTCAACCCTTCATATATCTCACTTGGATTATTGAATTAGCCTATTAATTGCAATAGTCTATTGAATGGTCTCCCTGCCTAAAGTGTGTCCTTTCTTTGATCTATTCTTTACCTGTCAAAGTATTAATCTTAAAGCATTGGTCTGTGTGTGTCACACACAACTCCCACCCCTTCAATAAACTCTTGTTCAGTCATTTCAGTCATGTCCAACTCTTCACGACCCCATTTGGAGTTTTCTTGGCAAAGATACTAAAGTGGTTTGCCATTTTCTTCTCTAGCTTGTTTTACAGATGAGAAAATGGAAAACAAGGTTAAGTGGCTTGCTCAGGGTCACACAGCTAGTAAGTATCTGAGGCTAGATTTGAACTCAGGAAGATGAGTTTCAGTGTACCACCTCACTGCCTATACCCCATTACCTATAGCATCAAATACAAACATCCACAATTGGCATACAAAATCCTTTACAACCTATATGGTACCATCAAACTAGTCTTACTGTTGTTCCCCATACCTGGGAGGCACTTCCTTCTCAACTCCATTTCTTAGAATCTCTAGTTTTGTTTTTTTTTTTTAAAGATCAGCTACATTACCTTTTACTGAGTCCTTTTCCAATACACACATATTTCATTTACTTATGTGTGTACCTGCTTATGCAGAATATAAGCTCTTTGTAAGCAAGGCATATCTGGCTTTGCATCCCCAGCAACCAGCCCAGGACCTGGTCAGGACTTCATTATTGTTTATTTTTATTATTATTTTTACCCTGTATGAAGTTAGCCAAAAAACCTGGGCTGAAACATTAAGAATACTTTATAATAATGAGAATAGCAAAGGGGCAGGTCAAAAAATCCCAAGCTGAAATATCAGATTTCATATAATCTCATCTCAAGTTTGAGTTCTCAAAGCCCTGGGTCATAATAATAATAAAGTACTTCACGGTTATGTCCATTTAAGCTGACGTTAGTGTCCTGTACAATGGAGATTTATGGCCAAATTAACAGAATTTAAAATAGGCATATATGAAAGTGACTGAAAGAATCAATAGTTATATTACATAAATTGTTCCTGGAAAATTTTGTCAATGTCCATTTGAACCTTTTCATCATCCTCAATTCTCTTCCGGAGGAAGGCCTGCATTTCCAGTAAATCAGCAGTTTTCTGCTTTACCTGAACAAAAACCAAAGCACAACCTTCTCAGAAAACAAGACTTTTAAAATTAGAACAAACCTATTTCAGTGACTTTTTCAGTGATTTATTTTATTGTAACAAGAACTAGTAAGTTATATTACCAAAAATAAATTACTCTCCTCACTCACTACCTACTTATTATGTCAAGTAACTGAAACTTCTATGACATTCTCTGACAGTACTTGGAGTGGGTATCAAATTTCCTTCTGATGAAAATGAAGTACACAAGTAATAAGATTTTCTTCTGGCTTCTAGTTTTGGAATTTGTTTCCAACATCACTCAAAAGATGGTAGGTCATATATTAATGACTCTGCATTTAATGACAGAGAGAGACACTGGGTCTGTTTTCATTAATATGTAACTCTCCCAGGTGAGAAAATTCTGACAATACAGTTAAGTGTATTCTCTGTAACTTCTCTGTTACCTATTGTTGCAGCCCCATGTGGGGTAGAGACCCACAGTTTAAGAAGTGCTAAACAGGTCACAAGTAGAAAAAATTTAAGAAGTCTTGGCCTAAAACACTACAAGGTTAAGTGGCTTATCCAGCACTGCAAAGCCAGTAGGTGTCAGAGATGGGGCCCCAAAGTCTGCTATCTATCCATTATGCTCAGTAGGGTTCTTTGAGGGGGTGAGAAGGGGAAGGCATCTTTCTAATGTTCCTCAAGTCAAGCTCACTGGTTTTTCATCTCTCCCACTCTACAAAATACAACTTAGTAAAAGAATAATACTCAGTATGCTCATTTAAACCAAATAGTTTTTCTTTGTGACTTCCTAAAAAAGAGAAAAAACTCTTTCTAATAGAATAGACAAGAATTTCATTACCACAAGCCTAGTCAGGTAGACTCACATAACCACCAAATTTAGGATAATATCACCAGAATTTCAGAATGACCAGGGACCCTAATGACCCATTTAGTCCAAACCATACATGAGAAAGAAGCCCTCCTCCAAACCCTCACCCTAATCTAGAGCCAAGCAGAACAATTCCTCCTCCATATGACAGCTCTTTAGGCACTTGAAGAAAGCTCTCATGTCCCCTCTGAGTTTAATTTTCTTTAGGCTAACTAGTTTCTTCAACTGATTCTTCTTTATATATATGTATGTATATATATTTTAGGCAACTGGGGTTAAGTGACTTGCCCAGGGTCACACAGTTAGTAAGTATCAAGTGTTTGGTCTAAGGACGTATTTGAACTCAGGTCCTCCTGACTTCAGGGCCAGTGTTCTATCCACTGCACCACCTAGCTGCCCCACAACTGATCCTTCTTTAATAACTCAAGGCAACATTCACCATGCTACTCGCCTTCCCCTGGATACTTTCATGATTATCAATGCTCAGAAATGAGCTGTGCTCCAAATACGGTCTGGCCAAGGTTAATTTATGAGCTCAATCATTTGTCTAAAATTGTATTATTTTAATCAGTTTGCTTAGATGTTGTACCACATATTTTTGTATATTAGAAAAAAAATTCTGATTTTCCTTATGTCTCTCTCTCTCTTTTTTTTTAGGCAATTGGGGTTAAGTGACTTGCCCAGGGTCACACAGCTAGTAAGTGTCAAGTGTGTGGTTTGAGGCTGGATTTGAACTCAGGTACTCCTGACTTCAGGGCCAGTGCTCTATCCACTATGCCACCTAGCTGCCCCTCCTTATGCCTCTCTTAATGCAGGCCATCATCACTTTAGCTTTCTTGGCTGCCATATGGCACTATTGACTCCTGTTGAGTCTACTACCACCCCCAGATCTTTTTTCAGATGAATATCTGTTTAAACATGATTCTCTTATACCTGTGAAGCCAGTTTTTTTAACTAAAGGGTAAGACTTTACATTTATCCCTATTAAATTTTATCTTATTAGATTAAATGTAATAGTCTAGCTTGTCAAAATCTTTTTTTGTATTCTGATTGTCTTATCTAGTGATAGTTGGCAATCTCTTTGAGCTCAGACTTCAGGATTCTATACTTCATTGTATCACTCCAGTATTATCAGCTATTATATCAGGATGATAATAATAATGATGATGATGATAACTACAATTTCTATAGCATCTACTATGTGCCATGGAACTGTGCCAAGGGCTTTAAAAATATTATCTCATTTGATCTGCACAACAACCCTGGAAGGTAGATGTTATTATCATCCCCATTTTACAGATGAGGAAACCAGGCAGAAAGCAATTAACTGACTTGCCCAGAATCACACAACTAATGTCTCCAGGTCCAGCACTCCATGTACTATGGCACCTTCTAGCTGCCACTCATATCTGAATATATACTTTTTCCTCATCAAGCTCTCCCTTGTAACAAAGTTTAGGAAAGAAGCAAAAAAGGAGTTCAGCAAAACCAACACATTGATAGTGTCTTCCTAGATATGCCGTATTTTCCCCCCTCAATATTTCATATTAATAAGCAAAAATAAAATTAAAACTATATTACCTTCTGTTCATTTTCTATTTTGGTACGTCTTGCAGCACAGAAATATTGCCAGACCCCAGGATCTAAGCCCTCTGGCATATGATGAGGAGCATCCAAATCATCCATGGCTTTCATGATCTGGGCAAGGGTATCCTTAACTTTGCCAGACCCGAGGCGATTGCCAAAAGGAGAAGTAGACTCTACATGCGCTCTTTGCCTTAGCATCCTGGGATTATCAACAAATTCATAGTGAGTCTTCCAAGACAAAGTAAGATCATATTCCTGTTAAAAGTTTCAATACTAAGTAGGAATCTTAATAAGATGCTATGTCTTCCTCCCTTTGCTAGAGAACCCGAAGATTTCAAGCCTCCTGGGCTTCCTTTTCAAGACAGACCACAGGAAGAAACACATTCTTTTACTTCCTTTGAATCCTTCTTTGTAAAAGCCCAGAGACTATCATGGATTTGAAAAGGTCCCTCTCTCTTTATGTACACAGTTAAGTATCTATGTGAGATTTAAAACTGGGATGATCAGGAAAGAGTAGAGAGAAATCTTCTATAAAAGCTCAGCTTGGAAGAAATACTAGAGTGAACCCCTCCCTATTCTATCCTTTCAATGATATCTACTTTGTTGCAAAATCACCTGCGATATTTATTGCAGTACTATGAATGGGGTGGGAGGACTGATTATATTGGTCTTCTTGGCGTGTGCTTATAAAGTAATAGAATAGAATAGAAATTGATGTCTCTTTGACCAAGATTTGAGTGACCTAAGTCATGTACCCCAAGATCTTCATTTTAATACAGTCCTCACCTCCCACACTGTGTTAATCAACCCAAATTGATTGTCAACCTTCAGGAACACCTACTCTTCAAGGGGCATATAAATTGTGACCCCACTGCCAATTAGGGGTCTTTGGTCTAAGAGACATAGCCAAATGACCATCCTTTTACTAATAACCTGCTGGCCTTATTAATAAAATTATTAAATTACCCAGAAATGATTCTCTTAAACCTTTTTAATAATAACATTATTAGAATATGATCTCCTTGAGAACAAAGATTATCTTACTTTTCTACTTCTATCCTCAATGCTTGTCATGTTTTGCACACAGTTAGCTTATGCTTTCTTTTCATTTTTTCATTCATTTGAACTTCTCAAATTGGCTTACTTACAATGTTAAACTATAAGGTTCATTTATGAGCTCAATCATTTGTCTAAAATTGTATTATTTTAATCAATTTGCTTAGATGTTGCACCAGATATTTTTGTATATTGGAAAAACAAATTCTGATTTTCTTTATTGAGTCAAATTGAGCCAAAAACAATTCTTGAGAAAGACACTAGCAAAGGGCTAAAGGCCAAAGAAAAGAGAAATTAACCTTGGCCGGCGTTTAAATAGTTTGTAGAGTAATTCGGCGTGATGACTGCTAAGTTCAGCAAACTCTTTTTTAAATCCACGTTCTATAACCTGTAGGAAAAACATATCATCACTAGAAATGCAGCTTATTGCTAAACCTTTTATTTACTGACATCTCTTTTCAAAATACTGTTGACTCTCATTCTGAGAAATACCAATATATGAAAACATATATTTTAGAGAATGTTTATTCACTATGCAAAAGGATTCACCAGTTTCTTTTAAATGGAATTTAATAATGGATTAAAATATTACTCCATAGAATTATAGACCTGTAGACCTGAAAGAATCTTAAAAGATCATCTAGCCCAACTCCATCATTTTACAACAAGAAAAATGAGACCTGGAGAGGGGAAGTGATATAATTTACCAAAAGTCAACCCACATACAATTGTTTAGGAATACCCTATGTCACAAAAGGAGGTGAACCTGAACTTAAGAATCAAAATGAAACTGGAAAGAGAAAAATCCATAAAGAAATTCTATTTTTTTTTCAGTTCCCCTCAAATCTAGAAATTCAGAGGTAACTCTGTATGTACAGGAATAGACAGATGATTCTTACTTTGTCCTCTGCAACTAAGTTGTCATAGTTCTCTCTGAATGCATCAACTTCATCTCGGGCCATGATGACTTCCTTAGAAGTATTTTTCTATGACAATATTGGAAACAACAGAACAAAATTAGAGATGCTTTGTAGACAATTAAACAAGTTGAGAACAAGGAGTTAGGAGGCATGATGTGGATGATAAGCCAGCAAAGAAGACTGAGAAGGGGCAGAGAGTGGTAGGAGTAGAACCAAGGGAGAATAAAAACACCAAAACCCAGAGAGGGAAGAATATCCAGGAGGAGAGAGTGGTGAACAGTATTAAATACAACAGAAATATCAAGAAGGATGAGAACAAAGAAAAACTATCATTTCATCTTTGTGCCTCATCCCTTCTAAACCTATTCTTCTCCCTCATCAAGACCTCTAATCCAATACTTTTCCATGCTCTGACTTTTCTCCCTTCCTAGTCTCAATCCTATAGCTAACCACCTAAAACAAGCTGTCTATACTGGTTGCCTCTTGCTTGTCTTGCTCACCCCTAAACCCTAAACTCCTAAATCTAAATCTGCCTTTTGACCTCATCACTCAACTGGAGTTGTTCTCTCCAGAGTTACCACTGATTTCTTATTGGACAAATTCGGTGGTCTTTTTTTCAGTCCTCATCCTTCTTGACCTTTTTGCTATACTTAATACTGTTGACCACTCTTTACTCTTTGACTTTTTGTGATTTTACTCTCTCTTGGTTCTCCTACCTGTCTGACTGCTTCTTCTCAGTCTTCTTTGCTGACTTATCATCCATATCACACCTTCTAACTGTGAGTGTTCCAAAGGTTCTGTCTTGGGCTCTCTTTTTTTCTTTCTCTATCTTCTCATTTTTCCATATACTATTTCATCAGATCCCATGGGTTTTGTTATCATATATATGCCTCACAAAATTTTATATCCAACCCCAGTCTCTACCTTGAGTCACCCATCACCAACTGCCTTTAGGACATTTAAAAACTAGATGTCCCAAAGACATTTTTAACTCAACATGTTCAAAACAGGACTCTATCTTTCTCCAAAACCTATCTTTCTTCCATCCAAACTTACTTCACATATCCAAAATCTGGCCATTTCTGCCTGTACAATATTTCTTGTATCTAACCTCTTCTCCCTATTCCTACAGCCACCATCTTAGTTCAGGCCCTCAATGCCACTCATCCATATTACTACAATGCCCTTCTAAGTGGTTTCCCTGCCACAAATTTCTCTCCATTCCAATCTATCTTCCACACTACTGCCAAAGTAATTTTCCTTAAAACTATAGTTAACCCCTACTCACTAAACTTTAGCATTTCTCTCTTGCCTTAAGGATTAAATAAAAACTTTTTTGTTTGGCTTTTAAATCCCTTAACAACCTCGCCTCAATCTATATTTCTAGCCATATATTACTTGTCAGATCCTAGAATTTAGCCAAATTAGAAGATGGCTAAGTAGTAGGAAGCGATATAGCCTAGCTCTCACCCAAACTCCTCCAAACAGGCTTTTAAAAATACACCAGACTGAATCTTGATGGATTAAATCCAAGATAAAAATCACATTAAGTCATTTTTCCAGCTCAGGTTGGCATAGAGAGATAGACAGAGAGATCTGTGTAGAATGCAGACAGGGTCCTTGTGGAGCTCTCCAGCACTCAGTAGGAAGCTGTGCACCAGGGCAAGAAGAGATCCATACTGGAGGAATGGGTTCCAACTGGTGGATTTTTTGCACTTCCCAGTACCGGGTCACAGATTCAGGGAGGGTTGAGAAAGGGATGCCCTGGGTTAAGGAGCAATTGTGGGCCCTGAGTTACATCTCAAGAAAGGAGCAAGGTCAGAAACAACCTCTAGCAGTGGTGTGGCTCAGACCCCAGAAAAAGAACAGGGTCTCAGTTCCAGTGTCTAGCCCAATCTGAAACCTGATAAGGAATGACTGGGGCAGAAATCCCAGATCAAAGGAGAGCCTGTAGTTCTGTTGCTCTGAACCAGCAGAATTTTCCAGCTAGCTGAGAAAGGCTGAGTCTAGCAGCATTCTATTATTGCTCAGACCCAAATACAGTCAGAAATTTTGCAGAGCTCAGACAGGGATGAGAAGAGAAATCATATTTTGCCCTGGATCAGACTACTTTGGGAACACCAAAGGCTTGCAAGGCCCCAGCCTAAGCTGTCCCTGAAATCCTGGAATAACATAATACTTAGTATCCCAAGAAAGCACCAATGGGACCAGCTCAGATCTCCGCTCCAGGACTGCACAGAGCCTGGCCCTAACACCAAGTCTGAAGTCAGTAAATAGGCTGGAAGAAAAAGAAAACAAAAAAGAATCCCACCCCTAAAAAAAAAAAAAACAATTATGCTGACAGGGATGCTCAAGACAAACCCAGGAGAAAAGAATGACTACAAAACATTTATAAGCAAAACCCTATACGAAAACATAGTTTGAACAAAAATTCAACTAGAATTCTTGGAAGAGATGAAGAGTTTAAAAAAAGAGTTAAAAGTATTTTTTATGAATGAAAATGCTAGAAGAAAATTTAGAAAACATATGGGAGCTATGGAAGAAATAATTGGAAAAGGAATCAACAGTTTGGCACAAAAGGTACAAAACCTTGCCCAAGCAACACATTCCCTGAAAATGAGAATGGACCAAACAGAAGTCAATGACTCCATGAGACAACAGAAATATTAAAATAAAGTCAAAAGAATGAAAAAAATGTAAGGTATCTCATGAAGAAAAACTGACCAGGAAAAAAGAGCAAGGAAAAATGTTTAAGAATCACTGGACTATGAACACCATGAACAAAAAAGATCCCTAGACATCCTATTTCAAGAAATCTTAAAAAATAACTGCCCAGATCTCTTAAAACTAGAGAACAAAGTGGAAACAGAAAGAATCCATTAGCCACCTCCTGAAATAAACTCCAAAATGAAAACTCCCAGGATCATTTTAGTCAAAAGTCAAAGCTTCTAGGTCGAAGAAATGATGACTACAAGTAGTCAAAAAGAATGAGTTTAAGTGTCAAGGAACCACAGTCAAGATTATACAAGATGAAGCAGCCATGAACATAAAAAAAAACCAGAAAGCTTTAAATATGATATTCTAGAAGACTGTATATAGGATTACAGCCAAGAGTAACTTAACCAGCAAAACTGAGTATAATTCTACAGGGAAGAAATTGGCTTTTAAAGAAATAGAGGACTTACAAGCATTGCTGATGAGAAGACCAGAGCTGCATAGGTATTCGGAAGTTCAAATATAGGCATTAAGAGAAACATTAAAAGTAAACATGAATAAATAATTGTAAGGGACTAAACAGGAATGAACTGTTAAGATTCTAATATGGGGAAATAATACATATGTTCCCTCTGAATCCTATCATCATCAGGGGTCATAGAGGGAGTCTAATTAGATAAAACCCAGAACTGGTTCTGTTATGTATTGATGATATTAAAAGAATGGAAAAAGGAAAAGAGGTATGCACTTGGGGGAGGGGAATGGTAGGTTAGGGGAAATTACCTCACACAATTAGGATGCTCAAGTAGACTTCTATACAAACTAGAACTTGAACCTCATTCTCCATCTAAACTGATTCAAGGAGGGAAGAACACATGCACACACATTTGGGTACAGAAATACATTTCATTCAACAGAACTAGGAGGGAAATGGGAGAAGAGGCAATTAGAAGGAGAGTACCCAAAGGAAGGGATTAATACCCAAGCAAAATAAATTCTAAGCTTGTACAAAAATATTTATCATACTTTTTGATGTAGCAAAGATTGGGAATCTAAGTGGTTCCCATCAATTGGGTGATGAGGGAACAAGTTATCGCATATAAATATGATGGATTGCTATTGTGTTGTAAGATACGATAAAGAGGATGGTTTCAGAAAAAAACTGGGAAGACTTGTGTGAACTGATGCAAAATGAAATGAACAGAACCAGGAGAACAATTTCTATAATGATAACAATATGGCAAAGTAAAACAACTCAGAATGATAAATTCTGATCAATATAATGACCAACCATGATTCCAGAGGACTGAAGATGAAACATGAGAGGTAAAGGACTGAGTACAGAATGAGACAATTTTTTTGGACGTAGCCAATGTGAAAATTTGTTTAGATTGACTACACATGTTTGTAATAGGTTTTGCTTTCCTTTCATTCTCTCTTTTTAAAATTTCAACATTCATTTTTTTGGTGAGGCAATTGGGGTTAAGTGACTTGCCTAGGGTCACACAGCTAGTAAGTGTCAAGTGCCTGACGCCAGATTTGAACTCAGGTCCTCCTGACTCCAAGGCCGGAGCTCTATCCAGTGTGCTACCTAGCTGCCCCTCAACATTCATTTAAAAAAATTTTTGAGTTCCAAATTCTTTCCTTCCCTCCTATCCCTCCCCCACCCAATGAGAAGGAAGTAATATGATATTAATTATACATATGAAGACATGCAAAACATATTTCCATATCAGCTATGTTGCAGAAAAAGTAAGAAAAATAAAGTGAGAAACAATATGCCTCAGTCTTCACTCAGAATTCATCAATTCTCTCTCTGGATGATAGCATTTTTCATCACAAATCCTTTGGAATTGTCTTAGATCATTGTAACTAATCAGAGTAACTTAAGTCTTTCCCAGTTGATCATTATTTTGATATTGCTCTCACTATGTACAATGTACTGCTGGTTCCGCTTACTTCACTTTGTACAAAAAAATCTTAAGGCAATAAATTATAGGTTCATAGAATTTAGAGCTTGAAGGTACTTAAGAAATTATGTAGCCTGAGCTTCCTCATTTTATAGATGAGAAAATTGAGGCCCAGAGATATTAAAAAAAAAAACCAGGGATGGCATATGGGACTAGGACATGGAGAAAGGGAAAGAGAGGGAAAGAATGAGAACATGTAAATGATTAATGAGCACAGACCATTTCAGTACAAAAGACTATACTATAATTACTTTCTCCATATGTTTCCTTTCAAGGAAGTTGCTCAGTCCTAATTCCCTTGTCCTTAATTCTTCATCCAAGACTAAAGAGAAAACAAGGTTGGTTATTTTTAATTCCTCCTGTGGAAACATTAAAGAAGGAAAATATATTAATACTAAAACCTGATGAAGCCTAATAAGGGCCTCTGATCCACTCTTCTTACTTCCCACATAAAATCATTTGAGGATCACATATACAAATAAGATTTTATTTAATTAAATAAATACAAAGTTTTCTAGTACTATCTTTAAAAAATAGTGGCGACATAAAACAATACAACAAATACTCCACATAGACTGGTTATATATTACTAATAGGTGAGGGTGTGGATGGAAGAAAGGAGGAATAGACACAGGGAAACAGAATGAAGGGGGAGGTGAGCGGTATTTATAAAACTCCCCTCTTCACATCCAAATCCTATCTAATCTTCAAGGCCCACCTCAAGTTCAGCTTCCTCCATGGAGCGTTCTTTGGCCCCTTCAAATCTTAATTAATCTTCTCTTCCGAATTTCTACAGCACTTTATTATCTACAATATTTTTGCTATTGTATCATATTATTTGGTGTTTCTTATGTGTTAGTCATATTTCCTCCAATTAGACTGTGAAATATTTGTAGAGAGGAACCATATTTAATATTTATTTTGTATCTTTCACTAAGCTTATCAAAGTGTTGAATTCATACTTTATAGTTTAATCAATCAAGAGGAGACACTGAGCTACAAACTGAGCAAGGCATAGAGAAAGGATTATGGGAGGCTCATTAGGTTGTAAAAATTGTTAATTGGAGGTAAATTGCTACAGGCCTCAAAGGCACTCATCACCTTGTTTTCACTGTACTTCTTACTTCTCTAGATTTCTTAACAGCTAAAAACCATGGCCTCTTCTCACGTCCCCATTCTAACTGATCTATCTGCAGTTCCCCACACTGTCAACCGCTTCTTCCTGAAAACCTTCTCTTTCCTTCGTTTCTATAATGATACTCTTTCCTTGTTCTCTTTCTGTTTGATCACTACTTCTCTGTCTCCTGGGTAGATCATTATCCATCTTTCAACCCCAAGCATCAAGCATGAATCTCTGAAGCTTTATCCTGGGCCTTCTTTTCTCTCTACACTCTCATACACTAGAGTGTATGAACTCTATAAACTCCCATGAGTTCAATTACAATTAGTAATCAGAGATATATATATATCAATATATCCAGTCACAATCCCTTAATCAATGTTAACCCTGCAACACCAATTTCTTGCTGGATATATCCACCTGGATATCCCATAGGTATCTCAGAATCAACTTGTCCAAAAGAGAACTTATCTTTTTCTCTAATATATCCTCCCTCTAAACTTCACTGTTTCTAATGAAGCTCTTCCATCTTTCTAGGCACTCAGCTTCAAAAGCCTGGTGTCATTTGCCTCTTCCCTCTCCTTCAATCTTCTCTTCAATGAGATGGCAAGGCTTGCACATTACATCTCTACATTTCCTTTCATGACTCTCCTTTCTAAGCACACAGCCATAAGACTACCTTATGACCCTATTAACTCTTTAGTGGACTATTGTGGTAATTTAAAAAAAAAATCTCCTTTCTTCTATTCTTTCTCCTTTCTAAGCCATCCTCTATACTGGCAAAATAATCTTCACCCTGTTCCTCAAAAATCAGTCCCTGTTGCCTCTTGGATAAAATAAAACAATATTACTCACTTTGACATTTGAAATCCTCTATAACCTAGCTAGGATTAGGTTATTCCAGGCATTCCATGCTAATTTTCTTCATTTATTCCATGTTTCAGTCAAAATGGCCTATGAACTAGTGCCTGGACTTGATATTCCATTTATCTTCTCTGTGTCTTTGCCAGGGGCTGCCCCACACCTGTTCTTAACCTCACAGAACTGAGTTTCCTTCAAGGGTCCACTCGGCTGCCAATTCCCATTCAAAGCATTCCCTCATGCCCTCAGTTTTCAGTGTTTTCTCTCCTCAGATCACTTAGTATTTACTTATCTGTACATATTATCAGTTGAATGTAAGTTCCTTGAGGTATCATTTTGTTTGTGTTTTTATATCAAGTGCTGTTCAATTCTCCAGCTCAGAAATCTGGACGAAAGAGATTAAGTCCATGTATGCTAACTTATCCTGTAGGGCCAGGGTTCACTACCCTTGGCTTAGGGGTTCATGAGCTCTGCATTTACCTGGTTGATAACCATTTCTGCTTTCACCTTCCTCTCAAAGAGTTTTTTCAGATTATCATTAAAGGCTTGTGTCGTTTCTTCAATAGACCCCTGAATCTTCTTTAATTCAGCATCCAGCGACTAGAATAAAGAATAATAATGTTACATGCTTCAAGGTAATAAGATAAACCTGTTAGTCAACTTCAACTCAATTTTCCAAATGGATAAAATTGACTGGACATCCATAGGGATGAATTCACTACAGTTGCACATTTCTAGGCCTTTGGCCTATGAGTGCCTGATGTTTTTCAGAGTAATAATATAATAATAATTTATACTATATATACCTGGCAATTTTGGCAAGCTGTTAGCATCTTATAGAAACAAGAAATACCTATGTATACTAATCCTCTTGCATTAATTCAAAAGATGTTTTGCAGTGATTTTCTAATTGTTTACATTGGTATATCTAGTCATTCCAACAGTTCTGTAAGCTCTTTTAGGGCAAGGAATAAGGTTTCATCTTTTGAATGTTCAACAGAACATAGTCTAGAACTAGGTACTCGCTGATTGAACAAATTCTCAAGAAACAAATGACAACAATAAAACTCCCTGAAGTTCTACTTTAATAAAATCAAACCTTTAAATCTGATTTCCCAAATGAATCTGTGATCTAATTGATATGAGTACTCCCTCTAGTGAAGAGCACAACCTATCCATGCCTGTCTATTCTGTGCAATGGTTATTTGTATCCTCCTGTAAGTTTGATATAAGGGGTCCCCTTCCAGGGTGGTGAGGGCTTTCCCAGCTTTCTCTTGACATAATGAAAATACTAGCTGTGCCAAAGGACTACATTATCCAGTGGATGCCCCTCACTCTTGTCCCATGTCTAGTGCATCTTCTTTTTCATTCATACATTTATTTCCTCCATGAAGTCAATTCTGATGGTATAGAAGTGATTCTGAGTTCTTGAAAGCTGTGACAGCCCAGAACAAGCACTGGAAGGTTTTTACCATGCTTTGCATATGCCCTCAATAATAGACTCAGTCTGTTTACCTATGAACAGCCTAAATCAACACAGAGAAACTCATCACTAGTAGGCTGGCCATGCCAATTCATTTCTTTAAATGTTGTCATTGACTAAAGAAATTTAATTTAAATATTATACATAAAGAACAAATTTTTAATTATACTCATGAACAACAACAAGAAGCAAAACTCACATTCACAATTACATACTGTGGAATATAAACTCCTCCAGTAGAATTTAAACTCCTTGGGGGATAAGACTATTTAATTTTTGTTTTTGTACCCCCAATGCTTGGCATGTGTCAGATGATTGATAAATGCTTGTTAATTTATTGAACTAGCCCAGTAAATCTAACTTATTCCCAAAGCACTGGCCCATATTCTAGTTTTTCTTTAGTGATAATAGAAACATCACATTTGCTAAGAATGAAAATGCATTCTGATCGCAAATTCTGCTGTTACTTTGCAAATATCCCCACTTTTAAGAGAATGTAAGAATTTATACTGGGTGAGAGTTTTTTTTTTTACTTTCTTTTTTAAATTTAAAATTTTTATTTCAATTTCAAATTTTCTCTTTCCCTTCACCTCTCCCCCACCCAACAAAGGTGTATATGAAGTCATATAAAACAGTTCCACATTAGGCACCTTGCAATCAATAAAAACAAAAAAGCAAGAAAAATAAATTTTAAAAAATATTCTTCAATCTGTACTCAGTCCATCAGTTTTCTCTCTGTAGGTAGACTCTAGAAAGACACATACGAATTGATGCAGAATGAAGTGAGCAGAATCAGGAGAACATTGTACACAGTAACAGCAACATTATAATGATAATCAACTGACAAAGACTTAGTTACTCTGATCAGTACAATGATCCATGACAATCCAAAGGACTCATGATGAACTCTGAGTGCAGACTGAAGCCTATTGCTTTTCCTTTTCTTTTTCTTGCTTTTTTCCCCCGACATGGCTAATATGGAAATATGTTTTGCATGACTTCACCTTTATAATAGATATCATATTGCTTGACTTCTCAATATGATGAGCAAGGATTGGAGGGACGGACAGAATTTGCTATTCAACATTTTAAAAAATAAATAAAAAGTATATTTGAGTAATAGAAGGAATCTGGTACCTATTTCTTAAAACTGTTTACATAGTATTGGGATTGTTCTTTAAATGTTTGGTAGAATTCACTTGTAAAACAATCTATGATTTGTTCTTTGACACACTCATTCTTTAGGATTAGATTATTTAGTGTCCAATTAATTATTAGTCTATGTTTCAAAGGCCTTTTATTGAATGTAATTTTTACTGCATTATGGCCCCCCAAATGGTGCATTTAATATTTCTGCTTTTCTGCATTTGTTTGTGAGGCTTTTATATCTAATAGATGGTCAATTTTTGTGAAGATGACATGTGCAGTTGAGGAAAAAAGTATACTTCTTTCTGTTCCCATTCAATATTCTCCAGAAGTCTATAATATCTAATTTTTCTAAAATTCTATGCATCAACTTAACTTCTTTATTATTTACCTAATTGTTAAATTTATCTAGGTCTGAGAGGAGTAAGTTAAGTTCCCCCACCAGTATAGTTTTATTATTTCCTCCTGTAATTAATTTAACTTTTCAAGTTCTATTTTACTCATTGGTTCTCAGATATCAGAGCAGCTTTTTAAAAAAAAAATTCTTGAAATATAATGTCTATCTTCTTTTTTTAATCAGGGCTTTCAATTAGTCTAACAATTCTTAAACTATCTCTTCTTGATTTGTTTTCCAGGTCAGTTGTTTTTCCAATGAGATGGTTCACATTTTCTTCTATTTTTTCATTCTTTTGACTTTGTTTTATTGTTTCTTGAAGTCTCATGCAGTCATTAGCTTACACTTGACCATTTCTAATTTTTGAGGAGTTATTTTCTTCAGTGAGATTTTGTACCTCTTTTACCAAGCTGGCAATTCTTTTTTCAGAACTTTCTTGCCTTGCTTTAATTTCTCTTTTCAATTTTTCCTTTGTGGACCTTATATGATTTTTTAAAAATCATGTTTTCATGTTGTTTCTTTCTTCAGCTCTCCTATGAATTCTTGTTGGGCTTGTCTATACGGTTCTTTGAGGCTTTGCTTATAGATGTTTTTTCCATCATTGTCTTCTTTTCACCACAGAAGCTTTTTATGGTCAGATTCATTTGTTGTTGTTTGCTCATTTTTCCAACCTCTTTCTCAATTTTGGACTTTATATTAGAGTGAGTCTCTGCTCTCCTCTGGGAGGGTCATTTGGCCTGAGCTTCTGGAGCTCAATCTGTGTTTCTGTAGATATTTGGTGCTTCCAAGATAACGTGATCTAGGGAGAGATCTGGTCACTGCCCTCCTGCTCTGCACTCCAGTCCTTATCCAGGTGGGTTCATTACTCCTCTCCAATCATCCCTATGCATCCCAGCAGGAACTAGCCAGCATTGTAGCTGCTGCCTCTAAGGCCTAGAGCCAGTACCGTTTCTTCCACAAGCCACATTCTGTGTTTCTGAACAGCCTCCACCTCAGTGTCCAAAGATCTCTCTGTCTATCTAAGCTGTCCTAGGCTGAAACAATGACTCACTCTTTTTATTGCTTTTCCACTCAGAATTCAACTTGATGTTTTCTGTAGTTGTTCTATAAGAGAGGTTTTGGGGGAAGTTTGACAGTTATGACCCTTTATTTTTCCATTTTGACTCTGCTTTGTGTCTAATCTTTCTGTTTTCTATACCTATCTGAGGAAGAAAACTAGTAAACAAACAAACAAAAAAGGGATGATGATGATGGCAACTTTTTGTTTCTTGGGGACATGATTGTATTTCTCATAAAACTCAGAGAAACACAAGGCCATATACATTCTTCAATTCTTTTACTTTTGGATTTGAATAGTTTCTGACTTAGTAAGAAGCAAAAGAAAAGAAACAAGTAGGGCTCTGTGGTAAGGTACTAAACTGGGCAATATTCCCTTCCCTCAAATGTGCTCAACTACAACTACAAGTTTACCTATAAAAGTCTCTGTGAAGGTGTGGAGACCATAATGAAGCATGTGAAACCAGTAGTGGGATTCCAGAGCTCAAAGAATAAGACTTTACTGAATGCTACTACCCTAAGGGTTTTTAGACTTCCCGAGAGATAGAATTCTAGCCTTGCTCCTTAGACATACAGGGGAAAAAACTCTTCAGGCATCACTGGCATTCGACACCTTTTGTTCATTTGTGCCTTATATATATAAGAACCCTTTTCTAATAAAATATATCAAGGACACAGCTAAGAAGTTCAGTGGAAAAGAAGACAGCTAAAAAAAATAGAGATCAGAAAAACTGATCATAAGATACAATAACATACAGCTGACAAATTGGCATGCCCCATTGGATGCTGTATAATTTTACTTCTTTCACAAAAGAATAAATAAAAACAGAAGTATTTGCAAGAAAACAACTTCACATTTGATTGATATACACTGTTTGACTTGGTGGGTATATCCAACCTTCTTTCAACAGCTCTACTCCTTGAGAATGGTAATGAATCCTAATCTTTACTGAGCTGAAAGTATCTTTACAAAAAAAGGCAGTGATACACTGAAACAAATTGTATTTGATTTTCCCTACTTTTCCTGGGTAATTTTTGTTCTGAATGATCTAAGTTATTAAATTTAATAGGTTTCCTCATAAAATATAAGATTACACATCTTCCCTTTGAGAAAACAGAAGTTATATAATTGTCTTTACAGTAACCTCTCAGGCATGTGAATTTGAAATTTGGAAGCATGTTTTTTAACATATTTCTCTTCCTCCTGACCTTTTTATACTTGTCTTTTTCCTCATCTAACTCTTTGACTTTTTTCTCATATTCTTTGGCTTGTCTTCTTTCTTCTTCAGTCCATATTGCATCCAATTTATTGATCATAAAGGAAGGCTGAGGAACGACCTAAAGATAGAACAAAGAAGCAAACGATCTACTAAATATGGCATAGTGACAATGTGCTTAGAGCAGTGAGAAACTACTGGTAATGATAAAGAAACCAACCTCTAACAAACCATCACTGGAGACAACAAGGGAAAATGGCTCAGGATTCAGTTAAACTGACAAAGTGAGTCCTTGGCTCCGGCTGTTTAGTTCTTTTTGGCCAATGATTTGTTTCTTATGATCTTTCTACCCTGAGTTTACTATCACTTATGACAAGGGAATTTTATTTCAAAGAGAATTTTCAGTAGCACTAATGGAAAATTATTGCTTATGTATAAAATTATTAATGTAGCTTCCCTCACTGCTACCAAGATACATAAATCTCATTTCTTTAAAATATGGTTTTCTTTTAGTCTGAAAATCAGTGCTGAAGTTTCACATTCCTTTGTGTTGGAGTTACTAAAAAAGATTTTTTTTGTAGTCTGTGTCTTCCTATTTTTCCCAGGTTGGAAGTGCAGTGGTCACTCACAACCTGATCCAAATATTTATTTATATTCATGGATGCTTTATCCTGGTCTGGTTTACTGTCCTGGGTTGGTTTGTCTCTCCCTGTGCATCTATCTTGGTGGCTCACCATATTTCTGCTGAATTAAATCCAGACACCTGATTAACTCAGAACTCTAGAATCAATCTACCAGGCTCAGCCTCCCCTAATAAAAGGGATTAGAGGTGTGCAACCCTACACTCAGCTGAAGTTACTAAAATTTTATGGAATGCTTGCTTTTTTAGAATTTTTAAAAACTCAGTTCCATCTGAGAAAAATGGTGAATTATAAAATTCCTAGTTCTCACTTTCATCTTTCTTATTCTACCTTCCATGATTAGATAGAACCATTACCATCTTCAAAATATCTTCTTTCTTTATTTCCAAAACTCCATTCATCATGTCCATCAAAGCACGACGTCTTAAATCATCTTTCTGAAAAAATAACCAAAAGTAAAAGGAGATAGAAGGTAGAGATTAAAGCATTCAGACTCTATTAGCAATAATCTTCTAAGACCATACAGCCAAAGTATGTGTGTGCGTGTGTGTGTGCAGAATTAGGCTCTTCCCAAAAACATTTCTCACTGATAAAATACAAAATATTTTGTCTTTTATGATATATTTAAAAAACTAATAATACAAGTATGTTTATAGAAAAGACCATGTGTGATTTGACAACATGTCATACCTCAGCTAACAGGTGTTGTTGTAATTCAAGGGCTGCAGCTGTCTCTGCTTCTTTTCTTTGCCACGGGGTAAGGTATTTTTCAACTTTAATCTGAAAAGACAAAGTTTCACTTCATTTCTTCCCTCTATTATTCATAAAATTCAAACTAAATGGGGTTCAACTTTCTCTTGAATAAGTTTTTCTTTCTTTTTCTGGAGGAGTCAGGAAGTTCAAGTTCTAATTTCAGCTCTGCCATTAATTAAGGGCTTAGAATCTCCCTATTCAGGGAAAAGAGCTCCATTCTCTGCAAAAAGAATGAGAAAGACTAAGAGATGTTGAAGCTCCCTTCCAGCTCTAACATTCCACAATAGAAACAAAAGGTCCAAGGAAATGCTTTGTACTTTGATGAACTCCTCAATCATCCTCAAGCGCCAAGCCTTTGTCTTGAGGATTCTTGCTGCACCAGTCCACGGAGAGAAAGGGACATAGAGACTCCTGATGCTTGGCTGATTCAACTCAAGAGGATGAGCCTTGGCATTAGGATCCAGGGCACTCTCTCTCAGGTCTACACAGGTCCACTATCAGGCAAGCTTGCTCTCTAGGACTTGCTTTTTGCCCTCCTCATGAGGAAGATAGATTAATAAAGAATGTGTGGCTGAATAAGCCTAGTAGTGTGGCAAGGAAGCCTGTCTCCTTCCCCTAGGAACCAGAAATGGCTCACCTGGGAAAGACACATGAGAGTTGCATGTGATTGCATAATATGGCCTGAGAAGAGAGATTCTGACAGTGGACTTTTCTGAATAAGCATATGACAGAAAGAGACATGTGCATGTTCCTTTTTGCCCCAAAGGGGAGTCCTTCAGCCTTGGAGGGTATCCCTAAATTCAAGAATTCTTAAATTTGAGTTTCCTAATTTTTTTGGTGAGGCAATTGGGGTTAAGTGACTTGCCCAGGGTCAAACAGCTAGTAAGTGTCAAGTATTTAGTCTGAGGTAGGATTTGAACTCAGATCCTCTTGACTCCAGGCCCAGTGTTCTATTCATTGTGCCATCTAGCTGTCCCTGAGTTTCTCATTTTTAAACTGTGGAGATTTCCTGGTGCATCATGCTCCTTAGAAAGGGAAGAAAATTATCTTCATTTATGAATAGCATCCTACTTAGTGTTATTTAGACAATACAGGTCAGTTTTAAAGCAAACCTTAAAACGTATTTGTCTTCCAAACCACAGGGTGATGCTATGAGTCTGGAAGATACTATGTAGGACCCTCTAGGAAGAATATGGATCTAACAGAATTTCAAAGGATTGCTCCAATGGTGACCCTGAGTTCAGTTCTCTTTCAAGGGGAACTGGTTGGTTGTATGAATGCTTTATGTGTTTCTCTGTTTACAGCCTACTGTGAATTCTTTGCATTTGATTTGAATTTGGCCCCCTGAATATTTGTATGGGAGCTGAGGACTCCTTACCTACATTTGGGGAAATCAAGATATGAGTATGCTATATTTGAAGACTTTGCTAAAGTAAGTCCAGGTAGGGGCAATACTCCAAAGAAGGATAACAATCCCCTTTAGGTCATTTAGGTAAACCTTAAGTCCTGGTGGGTCCTAGGCTACAGGTTACATCTTAAGAAAAGGGTTGACCTCTTCTATATACACAAATGAAGTGATAATATAAGGTAGCATCACTCCAACTCACTTCAACCCATACAGGTCTAGGGACTTAATAATGAAAGCATGGCCTATGGTGAAACCATCTTAAGACAGATAACAATTCTGATGTCATGATATAATAGCCAGCTATACTTTCTGCCATAGTATAAAATATAGTATAAAATATTCCTATGATGACTTTAATGTTGTTGTAATGACATATCATACTTATATAACCCTTTATTATTTCCAAAGCACTTTCATCTATATCTTATAGAGATAATGAGTTTTACAACAACCCTCTGTAGTATCCCTATTTTACTGATGAGGAAACTGAGGCTAAAAAAGATTTATGAATTTCCCCAAAGTGCAACAGACCCAGGATTAGAATGCAGGTCTTCTGATTCCAATTCCAACGTTCTTTCAATTATGCAAAATACACCATTCCCTTGTTGATAATTCCACAGATGAGTAGGGGACTGGCTAGAGGAGAAAATGGAAGAGAGGCAGGGTAAGATTTTTCTCCTTTCCTTCCTTCAAAAGGTATGTTGCTAGCCTCCTTCTTAACTCAAAGGGAAAAAAACAACCTAGTTCAAAAATAAACTTACCTAAACACTGTTACTAAGCATATGTTACAGATAGCTAGGTGGTGCAGTGTGTAGAACACAGGAGTTAGGAAGACTTGATTCAAATTAGACCTCAGATATTAGCTGTGTGACCCTGAGCAAGTAACTTGACCTCTATCTCAGTTTCCTCCTCAATAAAATGGGGATAATAATAGCACACACCTCCTAAGGTTATTGTGAGGATAAAATGAAATAATGTCTAGTAGACATCTTAAATTCAACATGTCCAAAATCAAATTCATTATCTTACTCCCTAAACTCTCCCTTTCCCCCTACCTTCTCTATTACTATCCACAGCAATACCATCCTCCCAGTCTCCCAGGCTCACAACCTCAATCTTCCTCAATTTCTCATTCTCTCTCACCATGCCTTCCCCTCCCCCATATCCAATTTATTGCCAAGGTCTGTCAATCTCAACTTTGCTCTCTCTCTGCAGTATGTCCCTTTCTCTCATTTAACATCACCATCACCCTGGTGCAGGCCCTCATCACCTCACACCTGGACTACCACAATAGTTTACTAGTGGATCTGCCCTCCTCAAGTCTCTCCCTACTCCAGTTCATCCTCCATTGAGCCATCCAATCCAAAATTGATTTTCTTAAAGCACAGTTGGGACCATGTCACACTCACTACTCAACTCCCTATTGCCTCCAAGATCAAAACCTCTTGCTCTGGGCATTTTATCTGACTGTCCCATACGCCTAGGATTCTGTCTCTCCTCATCTCTACCTACTGCCTTCCCTGTCTTCCTTTAAGTCCCAACTAAAATCCCTTCTAAAGGAAGCCTTTCCCAACTCCTTTTAATTCTAGTGTCTTCCCTCTAATACTTATTATTTATTTTACATTTTACATTTTTAATATTTTATTTTTCTCCAATTACATGATAAACAATTTTTAATATCTGTTTAAAAAAATTATGAGTTCCAAATTCTCTCCCTTCCTCCATCCTCACCCCCTCATTGAGAAGGCAATTTGATATATGTTATATATGTGCAGTCGTGCAAAACATATAATCCATATTAGTCATATTGTTAAAGAAAACATAGACTAGCTCCCCACCCCCAAATAAAGAAAGTTTTAAAAAAAAGTACCCTTTGATCTGTATTCAGATTCTATCAGTTCTGTCTATAAAAATGGATAGCATATTTCATTATAACTCCTTGGAATTTCTTTCTTGGATCATTGTATTGCTGAGAATAGCTAAGTCAATCACAGCTAATCATTGTATAATATTACTATTATTGTGTATACTGTTCTCCTGGTTCCGCTCATTTCATTTTGTATCAGCTCATGTAAGTTTTTCCAGGTTTTTCTGAGAGCATCCTGTTCATCATTTCTTATTATATACATATATATTTATCTATCTATATATATATATACATACATATATGTATGTATACATATAATCACACACACCACTACTTGGTCAGCTATTCCCCAACTGATGGATGTTCCCTCAATTTCAAATTCTTTGCCACCGCTAATGGACCTGCTTTAAATATTTTTGTATACATAGGTCCTTTTCCTTTTTTTTTTTTATCTCTTTGGGATACAGACCTAGTAGTGGTATTGCTGGGTCAAAGTGTATGCATAGTTTTGTAGTCCTTTGGGCAGAGTTTCAAATTGCTCTATAGAATGGTTGAATCAATTCACAACTCTACCAACAATGCATTAGTGTCTCAATTTCCCTATATCCCCTCAAACATTTGCCATTTTCCTTTTCTGTCATATTAGCCAGTATGATAGATGAGGGGTGGTACCTCAGAGTTATTTTAATTTGCATTTCTCTAACAATAGTGATTTAGAGCAATTTTTCATATAATTATAGACAGCTCTGATTACTTTGAAAACTGTTCACATCCTTTGACCATTTTTATAAATTTGACTCAGTTCTCTACATTTTTGAGAAATATGGCCTTTATCAGAGATACTTACTATAAATTTTTTTCAGTTATAATTACTAACTATATTTCCCTCCATCCCATTCTCTCCATTTATCCAGCTCTCTCTCCTTTCATTCTATCCATCCTCATAAGGATTTTGCTTCTGATTACTGTGTTCCCCAATCCTCCCTCCCTTCTATCACTTCCTCCTTCTCTCATCCCCTTCCCCTCCTACTTTCTTGTAGGGTAAAATAGATTTCTATACCCAACTTATTGTGTATGTTATTTCCTCTTTGAGCCAATTCCAATGAGAGTAAGTCTCTCCTCCCCTAGCCTCCCTCACTTTCCTCTTCACTGTAAAAGCTCTTTTGTGCCTCTTTTATGTGACATAATTTGTCCCATTCTACCTCTTCCTTTTCCCTTCTCCCAGTGCATTCTTTTTCACCCCTTAGTTTTATTTTTTTAGAGATCACCCCATTATCTTCAACTCACCCTCATGCCCTTTGCCTATGTTTACTCCTACTAACTGCATTAATGATGAGAAAATTCTTAGGAGTTACAAGTACCATCTCCCTATATAAAGAGTTTAACCTTACTGAATTCCTTATGATTTCTCTTTCCTGTTTACCTTTTTATGCTTCTCCTCAGTCTTATACTTGAAAGGCAAATTTTTCTATTCAGTTCTGGTCTTGCCATCAGGAATTCTTGAAAGTCCTTTGTTTTTTTGGATGTCCATTTTTCCCCTAAAGGATTATGCTCAGTTTTGCTAGGTAGTGATTCTTGGTAGTAATTCTAGCTTCTTTGCCCCCTGGAATGTTACATTCTAAACCCTTGGATCCTTTAATGTAGAAGCTGTTAAATCTTGTGTTATCCTGTGGCTCCATAGTATTTGAATTGTTTCTTTCTGACTGCTTGTGATATTTTCTCCTTGACTTGGGAGCTCAAGAATTTGCCTAG